AATGGTCATGAGTATCATCACACACAACAAATACTATATAATGTTATATAAAAGCTGAAACTAGATATTCCTCAAGTGGGTTCTTCAAAATACAAACCCCTGCATACAAATACATGAATATAAAAACTGCAAAATACTGAAATAGTAATTTTCTGAAAAAGTGAACAAATTACTCACCAGAATTTATTTGTATTTATTATTTTTTCTTCATTTCCTCCTATCAGAGTGATGATACTGAGGTAGGCATGCGTGATGCACCACAACTGCTGTGATTATAATATGTTTACCCAATGCACATTATACAGTACCTGCAAACATAATAATTTTCTGGTTTTTTTTATATTGTTAAAGCCCATTCCCAGCTCACTAAAAGAAGGATTTTTTTTGTAGAAAAAATGTATATGCCTTACTATAATTATAAACCATGAATTTTAGTTTTACTCAAAAGGATAAAAAAAAAAGAGAAATAGAGACCATTTCTCATAGAGATTACCATTTTCTTGACGACTTCTTTATTAGAAAGCAAATTCAGAAGTTGTAGTCGCATCTGCAGGAATGATCTCACTTAAGTGTATACTTTATGCATTCAATAATGTGCGCCCTCTCTGAGATTAGTTTTTGTACTTTGTATCTCGCGCACTGCGATCGATGGAGTAAGCCTCAGATATATTTGTTTAATTGGTCAGAATAATTTTTTAAACAAATTTGAAATAATTCCAATGAAATATTATATTTCACAAGTGTCAATACTAGCAACGGAAAATACCATGTCGGCTGTTTTATGTCTAATTACAGAACCTAAATAGAGGCAAGGCTAGGCCTAGCCTAGTAGTGTTGGATAATCTAATGTTTCCAGCGCCTGCTATATATCTGCGCAGGCCTATCACAATGTCAAATATAAAAAATTCATCCCTGTTTATTTTTTGTCTTATTTTACTTTTTTTTTCATGTTTAGGAATGTCTAAATTCAGTTAAACTAGCAATTTCGTATTATATTTATAAATCTTTATAACATATATAAAAATCAGATATTTCTTAACTGAAATCCTGCCGGGAATGGGGCATCAAAATTCGAGCTTTTCATCGCCCACGTTTTGGTTTGTAGAACCAAGTCTTCTCGGAGAAGGACTTGAAAACGTGAGGTTCAGTGTATACAACTGGCCTGTGTACACTTTAAAGAACCTGTTGCATCCTTTGGAAAAGTAGGGGGTTGCTCAGATGATATGGTTCATTTCAGCCCCCTGTCATTGTGGAATGATGTGAACTAAGCACCTCTCTATGGCTGCTACAGTAGTCACGGACCACGCCTGTAATTCAGCACGATGACGCTGCGAGTTATGAGTTATTCGTCTGCCTTTACCCTTTACTTACCTATATCACACTCATGTTATGTGCAAGTCACATAATACAATAGTAATTAATATTTGATAGTGTATCATTTTTTTTCAAACAAATTTGATCAATACCAATATAAAAACAATTCAAATTTGCAGTGTTTCAGTGTGAGAGTGGAATGATGTTTTTGATGTACAGTAATCGTTGATAGTTTATTTTTCATATGTACTTTAATTTCCTCTCCCTTTCAGGATCTAAGGCCAGCAGCACCTGAGGTACATTTTGGAATACAGCTTTCAACTAATGATTCTTAATTTTTGCACCTGCATTTAATAATGTTCTTTAAAAGTTTTCCTAATTTTCTTCCTCTGGATAACCATAAACAATTTCGAAAATCTTCTCTGACACAGCATTTATCTTTATTGTATATTTCTTTCATACTGATTACTTGTTACTAATGATATAGTATACTTTATAATCAATTTATATTATCGCATACTATAAGCCTCTCTTTGCTTCACATTATAATGATAAATATATTTATTTTGATTTTGTTTATGCTTTAAAATTTAAAATGTAGAATAATAATATTCAATTACAACATCTAACACAAAATATGGCTATTGATTTTTTCTGCCAGTGCACCATTGTTATGGAACCAGCTCCCAATAATTATTAAGGAGGCAACGTCCTTGACTGAGTTAAAGGACCGTACTAAAAACCTATAATATTGTTATTATTATTAAGAATTCTGAATTAAAATGACAATGCCCATATATGGGCATATCACACACATTTGTCACATATAATTTGACAGTTTGGACATAGCTTGTAAGGTTAATTCCATTCCTGTTGACAAAGTATTGTATAGCTAACCTTATTTAGGTATATTATAATTACAAAAAAAAAAAAATTGCTAATAAATTGCATGCATGCAATTTAACAATGTTAAAGATATGAAAACAACATAATATCCAAAATTGAAAATTAATTTAGCCAGCAAAGTTCATAACAAATATAATATTTTAAATTTAGTGATATTTGAAAATAGCTTCTTGACTAATGCAGCATTGATGACCAGGAATTTGCCTGCTCCTTCAACCGTCAATGTATGTTGTTGTTGACTTAATAGTGCTGCTTGGGCCTTTCCATGAATTAATTATAGGATTCCGCTTATTAGTATAGAGATTCTGATCTGAAAGCCAGAGCACTATAACATGAATTTTACTGGGAGAGCAAGTTGATGAAATAAAACCACAGAGACGAGATCTCCATGTTTTAGCACACACACATCCTAGCTACTTCATGCCTAACAAGTTTTTTAAAAGTGTGTGGTGAGAGACGCACTTGTAAAATTGTTAAAATTGTATTGTATTCATATATATTTTTTTGATATATGTATAATATTTATTTATATGACTAACTAACTGGTTGATATGTTTTGCTGTGAAATTTAATACACTCTATTAAGGCTGTTTGAAATTTAAAATACCTATATTCATTTAACAATTTTTTAAAATATTTTTATTATTAAATAATATTGTTACTACTATTGTTATTTATAATAATGTTATTAACCCTCTGGATACCGGATTCTTTTGTAGTGCAAACCCTTGAATACCGGATTCTTTTGCAGTGTTAACTAGGTTTTTTGCGTTTTTTGAGTATACATAGTTCTGGTGGATTTTTGGGAACTTTCTGTAAATTATACAGAAAAATGTTTCAAAAACAAAGAAAGCTTATAGAATAAGCTTTCATTTGATGTATAATTTATATTTTTAAGATTTTTTATTCATAATATAATATAATATAATATATATAATATAATAGAAATGACAAAAAAATGCTACATACAAATCGTCAGCAAAAACCAAAAAAAAAAATAAATTATAGCCAAAAAATTAATAAAAACAAATATAAAACATTCCTATTCCACACAGTTATATAATTTATTTACCCAACCATCCATAACTATAAGCACGATCTTTCCATTCAAAAGCAACGACCACCCTCATATTTCTAGGCCTAGGCTCATCTTCATCAAGAACATCTCCGCCGTCAGAACTGCTTGAAGCCCCGCCGTCATTATCGCTATCAGACGCGTCTAAGTCTCGCACATCTAAAAACTCACTTTCATCGCTGTCTGAATCAAAAATCAGGTCAATCGCTTCCTCAGATGTGTACACATCTTGTGCGGCCATTTCGGAAAATTTTCGAAATTAATAACGATTTCAAATTGATATTTCTAGACATTTTTATATAAGCGCATATGAGTTCTTCACAGATTTTGAAAGAAGAAAGCTTCACGCATGCATGTTCAAATTTTCTGACGTATTGGAGTTAAAATAAAAACAGAAGAGCGATTTGAAAACCACCTATTTTTTAGTCACTAAATTTCGATTGCAGTCGAAAATGGGAATTCTTGGTTTGAGGTCAATTTCGACTACAGTCGAAGACGGTATCTAGAGGGTTAACGTAGGTGATTAACATGTTATTAATAGTAATAAAATTATTTGTTTTTGTATTATTAAATATTGTTTTTATTGTTATCCTTATTATAATTTTTAATTTTATTTTCATTAATATAGGTCTCCCTCTAATTAAAGATCCCTCTGAATTCAAGCCTACCTTCCATTAAAGACCATTTTTCAGAGGTCCCAGACTATCAACTTATCAACATGTTTATATTGTTTCAGTCTAAAGAAGGCAGCGGTCGAATGCCAAGGCCTTCCTCTGCCAAGGGAAAAAGAAGTCGACCATTGCGAGATGGTGATGGTATGTATTGGTCATTGATGCTGACTGTATAGATTATTAATTTGTACGTTCATACATTGGCAGCTGTTCCTAATGTTCATAACACTGAATGAAACTAATATGTTTTAACTTAAATCAATCATGCTGTGAAGCCATGCGTGAATGATTGTATATGATGTGTTGCTATTAAATACAAAATAATTGCACTGCTACATTGAATAACAAGTTATACTTTTTGTTTTTATATAAAATTCATTTTTATTTGCATAGTCTAAATTTGACAACATCAAACTGTTAGTAGGGCAAATTACAAATACATATCAAAAGAATATATCTTCCATATTTTCCTATTGCACTAAACTTTACACTGTGGCCATTGCATAAAACCTAAAGACTATGTTTTACTCACTTACTGATGTACTAATTTTAATGTTTTCTCCTCATTAGACTCAGATTCAGATAAAGGTATGTGCTGATATTTTGAAGCATGGTATTACGGCTGCTAATTGTGTTACTTTTCATTTGCCTGTGTCTTTCAAATTCTGTAAAAAGGCGTAGAACATTTTAAGCTTCTTTGGATTTATAGATATAGAGGGATAGTGTAGTTGAGTGACTTTTTCATGATTAATAATGTAGGAATTCAATTTTACATGGTTAAATCTGTGCAAGTTAGGCTGAGAAAATACTACATAGTATTACACTTCATAACTCCTGATAATACAACTGTCATTAATAGTACACATCCAGAGCAACAGTTTTTAGTTATTTAGTTATTTCGATTAATATTTTAGATCCATGCCAATCACAGGTCCTGTTTTTTCTCAGAACTTGGGTCAAGTTTGGGGTTGTGCTAAATGTGTACATAAGATGGAGATGGGTGTTAGTAGCTCAAATGTTGGTTTTATATTAGAAGAAACCATAGAATTGAATCCAACCAATAATGATTGTTAAAATGAATTGTGAAGCTACACTATAAAGCTAAATTCTGCATGATTCTCCTTTCCAAGGCTTTGGGCAGATAGTTCCCCTTGCATCACAAACTAACAAACAATTTATTATTTTAAATTAGACCTAAACCCAATTGATTCTAACTTTATTTTGTAGTGTACACCTTAGTTAGTTTTAGTGTAGTTGTAGTGTAGTTTTACTTGCAAGACAGAGGCACAATTGTCTTTAGCATATCTCTGTCATAATATTTTTATAAAAAGTTATGATACTTGTGAACAGCCACTAAAAGTGATAAATAATTACTGTGAAGCAGTGCCTTAATAAATAATTAATGTAAACTATAGTCAGAAGCTTAATTATTCATCAGTTTAGTTGCTTTTTTGAAATTTTTGCTTTGCATTGTCTATCTGTGTTCAGTGCATATGCATTTCTGTTCCAATCATATTCTAAAATTTCTCCGTTTTTAGATATTTTCTAAAGTTATATAGGAATGATATATATCCTATGGGTTGTTTTTATCACATTAAAAGTATGGAGTGACAGCAATGAAGCGGAATTCTGGTGGTTAACATGGTTTTCATATATTTCCAGAGTCCTGGGTCCAAATCTTGTAAAATACCAGGAGTTTTTTCTCATTACAACAACTAAAATTTTAAGCCTCATATTTATAATTCACATAATCTGATAAGATCCTTCAATATAATGTTCTAAAACAATTATGTCTGATGATGCGTTCTCTTTTTTGTTTCATTAATACCAGATACAGAGATCATATAAAGACTGACCCTTGTTTACTGAAATTGTGTAACGCTCACAAATTTGCTGGTTTTTTTATTTGATTTTAAAATATTAAAATGTTGTCTCTGTATATATATGCTGTTTTTATTATTATTAGTATTAATTACATTTGTATGACTTTATACCTTTGATGTTGCAGATTACGATCAGGAACGACAAGATGGTGATCTACTACCCTCTCAAGTTCAAGCAAGGTTCAAGATCAAAATTTTAATAATATACACTATAATAAAAAAGAATAAAAAGAATAAATCTTTTCATTTAGACACTTATTTATTTCATTATAATATTTATTATTTTACATCCGATTCAGGATGCATCATCAGGCCAAATAATATTTTTGATCAGATAAAATCTATAAAATATCAACATTGAAAAAGTTAAAATATACTATAATTAATAATATGTTGTTAAGAAATTCCAATAGATGTCCAGTTTTAAAACTAAAGACAGAAATTAGGCAGGTCTGAGATAGGTGCCTTCAACAGATGAATTAGACAAAATTTCACTCAAACAAAACAAATACTGTAGCACTACATATTAATAGTAGAATAATGTTTTAAACATAATAATGAAAAGATAATTTATCATAAATACATTTGAAATAAGTTAGATTACTATGATGCATGACTGCCATTTGTTGTTTATTCTTCCAGCCGCCAAATGACTAGACCAAGCAGTGCAAGACCAGCTCCACCTAAGATAAAACAAGAACCAGTTGAGGACCCTAACATAAGGTATGGAAGTTCAAGGCATCAAAGGGAATTTTTTTTAAAAAAGTATTTTACAAAAAAAATCGAAGAAAATGAAATCAGTGAATATATTTAGCAAAGGAAGCCCTACACAACTTGTAAAAAGTTGTTTTAATGTCAAGGTCTTTGGTTCAGTTAGACTGACGTATTCTTGGTCAATCGTATGACGGTCGGCTAACGATTTCAAATCTGCTCCCTTTGAGCACTAGAAGATGCGACAATGTCGTCTGATTGTTGGCGACAATCTGAAAAGATCATCATTAGGGAGCTTTTGATTGCACGATGACGGTAGGACGTAGAATGTAATGACGTCAGTAAAAGTCATCTGTGCATGCGAAAACTTTAAGATCACCTCGTCAAGTAGATTCTGGAACGCAATTTAGCCAAATCTACATATGCAGAGAACATAGGACGCCAGGTAGGACGGTCACGCATGAGTGATTCCGTTTTAGTGTCGCGTCGTCGCACAAATCGAAAGCTAATACCTTGTTATGGTCAGGGTGTGATTAACTTTTAAGATGTCATTTACGACTTTTTTAAGTTGTCACCTTTTATAAATGTTACTGCTATATAATTTATTTTCTATGATAAGTGATATGATGATTTTTAGAAGTGTACAGTCAAGTAAGACAATGTTAAAGTTATGAAAAGTTATGTACATGCTTCCAGCTAAATTGTTTTTTTGTTTTTTTTATTGGTGTTATGCAAAGTATAACTACTGTACATATATTACATATTGCCTGCAATATTTCTTCCAGGATCGGTAGTGGAAAGCAAGTTACAAATGTTATTGTAGACAATGGCATCAATTCTGATGACGATGATGATGCATTCCTAGTGGAGGAAGCTCAACCACTCACTCAGGATGACCAACAGGTAGATTGAAGGTCCAGAAAAATTTGCGTTGCAAGTTAGAAATTAGGATTATTACCGTAAATGATGTAATAACACGGCCTCTCTCAAATGACTGCCACACCAAACAATCTTTATATATTCTATTTTGCACTAAACACTATTTCAACATGCGTGGCTGTTTCATATGATTGACAAATTATAAAACAATTTCTCATGAAATATAATAATGTTACTAAAAGTCAGATACTGTTAATTGCAATTAAGTTAAATTAATTAAATTAATAACTGATTAATTACAATGCTAATTGGCGTATGAATGTAATTTTTTTAGAATGGACCCGATGCATCTCCAGCTACGGACAAACAGGTGAAATACAGTTTTGTATTTCATAAATTAGTGCAAAAGTATTTTGGTTTTTAATTTACAATGAAAGTGTTGATACCAATTTTTGCAAGTCAGTCGAGCAATTATTTTTTGCTTCAATAGAGTCAATATATTTTGCTATATCAAGCCTTTGTTCAATATTCTACATTCTGTAATTTTTCTTGTTTTTGTGTGTTTAATTTCTATTATGTACAGAATGCTTATTTTTAAATGGCTTAATTATTAGTTATGTGCTATATCTTCAGTACAGTGACTTGATAGAGGAAAAGTTAGGATCCTATCGCCTGCTTAGCATCTTGATGGATCTTGTATCTACTGTTTAGAGCTCTGTCCAGATTTTAAAATTTGTATGCCTTATATAGTCATGATGTGCCTATATATGGTCATTATGTGATGTCAACATGACCATATTTAGACATGTTTTGGCCAAATAAATTTGATATTTTGGACAGGGCTTCAGTCAGGTAAAGCAACCTATCCCAGAAAAAGATTGCTCCTATTAGCATTCAGACCATTCTTTTTACTCTTTCATTTAATAGAAAAATAAAATTTAGGAAAATAGTACGGACGATGTAATAATATGAAAAAAAAAGTGAAAATTTGCAGTCATTCTCCCTCTTCTTTAAATTAGCTTTGAATACAAGCTTAGCATATTTGCAAATTTTAGTCTATTTCATGAATACTTACATGGATAAACCAATAAATGCTTTGAAAATTGCCTTTTGAGTATAAAAGAAAAATAATGGAATTGCTCGTCTATATACGCCCTGATATAGATGAATTGAAAAGCTTACCCATTCTATGATTAGAAGTGCCTGCTTGCATTATGTATGCTTTGTGGTTTCTGCAGACAGAGCCATGTGACCAATATCATCGCTGCTGATTTGTTAAATGTACTTTACTATATGTGCTTCTTTTGATTCTTGTAATTTCTCTCTGTTTAATGATTATATTTGATACTATACTACAGTCTTAACACTAACTACAGCTTTAAAATCAGCGCTGGTTTGAGCCACTCCTCGCCCAGGGTTTGCTTGGTATCTGAGTCTTCTCAGATATGGACTTTTAATGAAGGCCCATTGTGGACATCTGGCTCATGTGCACTTTAATGAACCCATTGCATCTTTCGGAAGAGTTTGGGGTTACCTCAGTGCTATGGTTCATTTCAGCCCCTGTCAATGTGGAATGATCTGAACATATAGCTACTATAAGCACCTCTTTACGGCTGCTAGGTAGTCATGGACCACGCCCATATGCAATTCAGCACAATGACGCTGCAAGTTATGGGTTATTTCCCTACCTTTACCTTTATATTATAGACTGCAAGAAATTAAATAGTAGTGTGTGGATATCATTATTGTATTATTACTATTATTGTTATTGTATGTTATTACAACATCTAAACATTAAGTTTTTTGTGCATAAGATTGGTCTTAGTGAAGTGGACGATGATGGCCAACATGGATCTCTAGTCAAGAAAATAATGGAAACCAAGACGGAACTAGAAAGGAAAGACCAAAAGAAAGATGTAAGTTTGACGACAACTGTAGTAAAATGCTAGTACATGTAACCTTTAACCAGGAGCGGATCCAGCATTTTTCAAATGGGGAGGGGGGTACAACAGCCTTAGAATAGGTAAGTGAGTAGCACATACCTTTGATTTGCATTGAAAATTTAAAAATTTAATGGCAAAACGGGGGGTGGGGGCCCAAACGTGCCCCCACGTTCCCCCTACTGGATCCACCCCTGCTTTAACCATTCTTCATGGGCATCATTAAATCTAATGTGGTTGATCAATTGATACAAGCTGAAAAATGATGTACTACCCCAATCCAACTAAGGAAAACCGGTACTTAGACATACTAACAGGTTTAGATTTATGTAGGCAAACAAGTTTCAACCAAATCTGTCCAAAAAATTATTGTAATATATAGAAAGTGCTTGCTGATAAGAACATTAAAAAACAACCCTAGTATTTGCAAACATTATACATAACAGTCAATACCATTCAAGCCAAACAACAAATTTAATTAACAATCTAGAGTTATATAAGTGTATAGATAAGGGATTAAACAAAATATATGTAAGACAATCAAGTATGCCAATGTGATATTATTAATGCATGTTGGTTGGTAAGGAAAATATTTTCTTTTGAAACTTATTTAAGTTAGACAAAGCAATCTTTTTGAATATTGAATTTTATTGTTCCAAGTTTGTTACCTGAACACAGACAGTATATAATCAAAAATTTCCCTTACAGGATAAACCAATAATTCTTGATGCAGCTCGTAAAAAGGAGCGGCAAATGGTTCAGCGAGAGGTAGAGAAGCTACGTGGCTTCATCCAGACCTTAACACGAAGTGCCAATCCTTTAGGGAAGACCATGGACTACTTACAGGAAGACATGGACAGCATGCAAAAAGAACTGGATAAATGGAAGCGAGAGAATAAAGAACATGCCTTAGCAATTAAAAGAGAAGAAAAGTAAGTGAAGTAAATTCAATGTGTCGATACCCACAGAATCACTTGCAATTTTTTATTTTTTAAGTATTTAAAGACAAACTAAGGTAGATGTCATTAAAGTACCACCTGCTAATTTGAGGTTGAATTTGGCCCTAGCCACCAGTAAACATCAGTGTTCTAGTGGTATGATACCAGGCTGGTAATTCTGTGGGGTCAATTGTTTGATTCTTACCCAAATCACTTGCAAGTACTCTTGTCTGTCACATGATTTTGTCGAACAAAATTTGATGGTCAGGACAGGGCTTTGGTATAAAGCGCTATATAAATCTAACGACATTACATGTAATCTAATAGACTTTTTTTTATCTTAGTGTGACTGAAGGAGAGTTAGAACCTCTTCATGCCCAGTTGGCAGAGCTGGACCAGTCCATTGCTGATCAGGTGGAGCTTATAGGTGCCGTCAAGTCAAACATTTTACGCAATGAGGAAAAAATGACAAAAATGATGAACAGCGTTGTACTGTCATGAAACATCAGCAAATATATTGGCCTAAATTTTTGAAAGATATTCTTGTTTAGTAAAAAGTACATCAGAATCCCTTTACTTTCTGGTGAAGGGGAAGTGTGCAAATTGTTAACTGAGTCAGTGGATGAGAGGTAATGAGGAATACTCATTGACTGTCAGTTGGTAAGAAGCAAGTGAAAACATGTGAACACAAGGCAACCCTATTCCTTGAAATTGACCCTAACTGTATTTATGACTTTTAGTAAGTACAGTACTATTGTACATATTAATTTAATTGATACCATAATGGAATGGTAAACTCCATTAAAATTTGCAGCAAAATACCTAAAACCAGCCTTAAATCATGGCTAAAAGTACAAAAAAAAAAAACATCAAATAATGCCTGTTGGTATTAAGAGAAGAATTAATGGCCTATATGAAGGTTCCCAGCTACTCATAGAAGTTTGGTAGATGTTTAGGCTGTGCACCAAAGTGGTTGAATGTATTTGGCACCAATGTGACAATATATATTCATTTCAAAGCAATGCTGATATGTGTCATAATTTACATTAGAATATTAATGAAAAATGCAAAGGATAAGATGAAATTATTCAAAAATTTATATGAAAAATTGTTTTGAGATTGTACTGAATCTATGTCCTTGGTCTTATAGATATATGCAACAAAATATGTATATCATAAAATTTGTTATTATAATGTTTAGTATTTTTGTTATTGGTGTTGAATTATATGAATTCAATTATTATTTTTTTTATTGTTTATTTTGTTTCTTTGCTAATAATAATAGCAATATTCTTTGCCAATAGTAATAGCAAAATTCCATAAGTTGATGTTACTTTATTGATGTGTGCATGTTGTATTGATTCTATCTTAATGTGTGCATTATCAAATGTTAAATTGCAAATCCAAGATTTGAACATTTTTTGTTTGTATACTGATTTTTCAAGCAGATACCCTGAAATGTGAAGTTAAGTTTTCAGGACATTAAGATCTAGTGGTTACTTGTTGCTACTCTCTGGAATGGAGAATTTATGGAAAATAAACTGTGACAGCCAAGGTTAAATAATATTAAAATATGTTTAGCTATTGCGCATACATCATATACCTTCCGTACAACACATTAGTTACAAAAATCAAAGTGGTGTTTGGATGTCTATGAATAAGATAATTACTTGTGAACTAACTAAATAATAATGATGAAGTACAGTATACAGTGTGATCATATGATCCAGGCTAAGCCCAATAAGACAACCCTAGCACTTTCATTCTCCTCCAGGCTAAGCCCAATATTAAAGACAACCCTAGCACTTTCTTTCTCCTCTAGGCTAAGCCCAATAAGACAACCCTAGCACTTTCTTTCTCCTCTAGGCTAAGCCCAATAAGACAAACCTAGCACTTTCTTTCTCCTCTAGGCTAAGCCCAATAAGACAACCTTAGCACTTTCTTTCTCCTCTAGGCTAAGCCCAATAAGACAACCCTAGCACTTTCATTCTCCTCCAGGCTAAGCCCAATAAGACAACCCTAGCACTTTCTTTCTCCTCTAGGCTAAGCCCAATAAGACAACCCTAGCACTTTCTTTCTCCTCTAGGCTAAGCCCAATAAGACAACCTTAGCACTTTCATTCTCCTTCCTATTGCTAGCTCTGATGCCTGGAGTGACCCAATTAAATATATGCAATTTAAAAATCCAAAGCAATATTTTTTTGGCAACCTATAGTAGATTTTCCATGCTTCAGCATCCACCGTATTTTACACTGCAATCTGAGGCATGGTTTCCACTGAGACAGATCGTACCGGAAACTACATTTATGTACGTTGTACCCGAGGAAAATTTGCCAATCGTAAAACAAATTTTTTGTAAAATATTAATAGGCAATAATATATAATCCACATGCGACTCCTCTTTCTACTCTTTGCCAAATGTGGGCCTCTTTACTATCTAATAGTAGCAAAGTTGTTGTAGATTTGTAAGGGTACAATGTGTTAATGACTTCATAAACTTGAGTATTTGTAAAAACACGGAGGATTGAAAGTTGGCAAGTTTTTGCTGGCCTATTTTTATCCTCATTTTGGGCCTTGCGGGGACTTAGCAGGGGATGTAATTTCCAAAATGGTTACATGCATGTGAGAGTCCCGGCCACCTCCTAGCAATGCGGAGCATCGTTTTAATGTACATCCCCGGCTAAGTCCCCGCCACACCGCCGTAGTCCTGGGAAAATGCCTCGCTAATAAATGATTGGAGGATAAAACCTACTTGAAGGTTTAGCCTACAGTAGGTCTGAATCGGAGAAGCAACGTGAGAGCTAGGCCAAGGAGATGAGGTTCCTTGATGGAAGCACTACGCGTGCGTATCACTTAGCAGTTTCCATGGAAGTTTGGACTACAATTGACAAGTGCATAATCTGTCTCTTATACACATCTAGATGTGTATAAGAGATAGATTTTTCAGTGGGATTGAGCACTGTTTCTTATATATATATTATATATATATATTATATATATATATATATATATATAGATCCCGTTATTAAATAAAATGTTACAAATAATACGTGAATATTAGAAAGAGTGCTTGCTCGGATATAGATACTAATTATGATGTAGATAGCATCAAGCATTCCCCCTTTACGAAAAGTTTGGCAGTCGTTCTTATTGTATAATTATTATTTTATTAATTATTATGCTTATTGGTATCGGTCACTTATGCAGGACACTTTTCTTTATATAGTGTTTTCATTATTTAATTCAATTAATTTAGTAAATGTATTTTTAATGTATGTATGTACGGTATGTTTTATCTTTTCCTTGATTGGAGGTTTTGATGAATAAATTTGATTTGATAAAATAGAGTAGATTTCTGGCTTAATATGGCATAAAATATATTGAGTAAAATAAAAAGAAGAAGTAATCGTGGAAGGGGTGATGGGGTGCAATAAACCTGTACATAGTTCAGTTCACGCCTTATTAACTATTGAGATGTTAGAATAAATGTTAAAAGTGCAAAACGTGTAACATTTCGGTTGCCACACGACAGAGCATAATTATTAGCCCCAAGGCAGTAAATGAACCAAGCAAGTATTAACCAAGCAGCAATAAATTCAAGGCAGTAAGCATAGTTGTTCGTAATTGCCTCACGTCCTGGTCGTATGGTGGCCTTACCTCTGAGGCACCAAGTTTAAATGTATTATTTAACACAATTATTTATTAGAATATATTCCTTCTGGCGTATGTTTTTTTTTCTTTCCTACTTTTTACTTGTTTATATTATATACAGTAAAAAACAATCGGGGACTTAGCCCTAATTAAAGACAACATTTCACGACTTTCAAAATAAACGTTTTTGCGCGATCCATTTTTTTTTTGTTAATTTCAATGAACGAACACACATAGCAGAATTTTAATAGTAGCACATTTTAATGGGTCCTCAAAACGACAAACGACAATCAAATGAGAACTCGAAAAATAGAACACTAGAATGGCTGAAATGTAAATCGTCATACATAGAACGATAGGCCTAGGTCAGGGGATGATCCAGAGATGTCCAAAAGGGTGGGGG